ACCGCAGTATTGTACGTGCTGCCTGACACTATCGAATTGGTCTTCCTTGTCCAGCATATCCCTTTCCTTCCTCTGAAAGACCTGGGACAGAGGAACCCGGACATCCTGGGATTCGTTGAGGGCCTCGTGTAGGGCCTGCCATCTTAGGCTCCACATCACTGTATGGATAGTTTGCTTCTTGAAGGGCCTCATCGAATAACGTTGTAACTGTGTGCTGGTACTTGCGGGAGGGTCGGTCGTCATGTTGCTGACCTTTTCCACCCTCCCCATCCCATGATGTAGAAGTTCTTCCCGTAGCCAGAGCTCCTAAGTAGTTCGCCGCATCACCTGATGTGCCAAACACCTGGCAGCGCATGGAGGCCGCCTGATAAGTCACCTGGGGCCTGTCGTCCTCCTCCTCCTCCTCTGCCTCCCTTCGGGGCTCTTTTCGGCCCGCCCTTGGAGGTGTTGCCATAGGTGGAGGGCTGAAGCAACTAAGTTTAAGCAGCAACTCGAAGAACTCAAAGCTACACCTAAGGAGGAAATCTCTTGCGGGATGACGTTTGCAACCCCGAATTGCCGTTGATTTCCATGGCAGTGACAGCAAGTACTGTACCAAAGAGGATTCCCTGTATCTCCACAGGTAGAGCACGCGACGCCACGAAATTGGTACCCATGATTATCAGACCCATGCCGATACATGGCCGCTGACTGACTGGGACAGATAAACCTAAAACTGGAATGCGCGGGGGGCTTGAGTCGCCCCCTCGCCTTGAGCAAAAATGGCTTGAGCCAAAATGGCTACGGAGTCCTTCCTCCTCTCTCCTCCCACCTCGCACTCTCCCTCCTCCTCCTCCTCCTCCTCGTCCTCGTCCTCCTCCTGCTCATCCTCCGATTCCTCCTCCCCTTCTTGGGATACGATGCCTTACCCAGCCCATTATTCCACTGCGTTCTCGTCCACGTTCCTGGTCAGGGCAACTCGTCTGGGCATCGTTTCTGGATGGGCTGGTGGGGTTACTTTTCAGTCAGCAGCCGCAGGCGAGCGCGCCAGCGGCGGGTCCAGTCAAAGCGGGGCACGCAACGACGAATGAACCTAAAGCGACGGGGCGCAGCCTCACCAAAAGCGGCGATGCGGAGCCTCACGCAGCACCTCAGCGGCGGGCTGGCGGGGCTACGCGAAGCGTCTAGAACTCGAAGGGCGCGGCAGCGCAACCGTTCAAAGAAGGCCCGAGGGGCCGAACGGAGCAACAGCACATGGCATACAGTCGGGGCGTTGACCTAAGGAACCCTAAAGAAGGAACGAGGCCCCTTTTTTCCATAAGCTAAACTTCGATTTCCGATCGAAGACATAAGGAAAACCTGAGGCAAGCTGCGAGACACTCAAGGAACGCGGAGCCCCTCCCCAACCAAAAGGGTTCCTTCTTCAGGGCCCCGACTGTACACGCAGAGCGTCGGAGGCCCGGGCTGCCTCCTCGGACCTGCGCTGCCCCCCCCCCTCCCTGGCGCGCGCCTCGCGCGCGGGCGGGGCGGCGGCGCGGGAGGGCACCGCACGGAGGGCGGCGCCCCGCCGCGCTCCGAGAGCTGGCCGCGCGGACCTCCGAGGGCCCCTCTGCTCGTGCAGCCCGCTCCCCTCGCCGGGCATCGCTCGGACGTCCATCCCCTGTGTTTTTTTCGGTTTCGCGCGTGGTTTTGATGCTCCTCGATGGCCCTCGCCGAAGGAAAAGTGCACACGTCCGAGCGATGCCAAGCTCGAGCGCAGGCGGCAGCCGAGGGGCCCCGCGAGGGGCAGGGCGCCCTCGAGCAAAAAAAGCACCGGCTCGGCAAGCGAGCCCCCAGGTCGCCTCCGCGCGCGCGCCGCCGGAGCAGGTCCACGTCCACTGCCGCCGGTCCGTGTCCCGGAGACCTCGTGGAGCGGCGGATACAGTCATCGGCCTGACCTAAGGAACGATAAATAAGGAACGAAGCCCTTCTTATCCCAAGGAATAACGCATAAGGAACGATAAATAATAGATGACGCATAACGAACTGTTAATAACGCATGCAAAACCTAAGGAACGACCGAGCCCCTTTTGAAGAGTAAGTGTTCCTTACTCAAGCCGCTCACTGTATGGACGCCCGCCCGCCCCTGCGGGCGGGCAGAGGTCCACGCAGTCGACCCGTGTAGGAAGGACGCCCGATGAGGATGCAAGGGCCTTGGGAGGCCATTTCGAGGCTCTTCGAGGGGGACGCGAAGCTGGTCCAGGATGGGCCGAAGGGGCAAGGATGCAAGGGCACCCTTCGGAAGGACGCCCATCCTTCGTATGCGGGTTGACTGTATCCCCCACTCCCAAGCCCCCGACCTCATGATCGTTTCATGACGCCGACCCCCAGAGGTCTCGGCCCCTTTCCCGGGGCCGGCTTCTCAAACCCGAGTCGTTGTTGTTTGACGGCCCCGCGGGCCGGGAAGGGCCCCCAGAAGCAAAAAAAAATAGCGAAAAACATCTCCCGCCGTGATTGTTGTCATGACTCGAGGGGGTGGAGGAGGAGGAGCAGGAGAAGGAGGAGGAGGAGGCGGAGGAGCAGGAGGAGGAGGAGGAGCAGGAGGAGGAGGAGGAGGAGGAGGATGACGAGGAGGAGGAGGAGGCGGAGGAGGAGGAGGAGGATGACGAGGAGAGGAGGATGAGGGAGGAGGAGGAGGAGGAGACGGAGCAGAGCAGGAGCAGGACGGAGGAGGAGGAGGAGGAGAGGAGGAGGAGGAGGAGGAGGAGGAAGAGGAGGAGACGGAGAGGGCGGAGGAGGAGGAGGAGGAGGAGGAGGAGGAGGAGGAAGAGGAGGAGACGGAGCAGGCGGAGGAGCAGGAGGAAGAGGAGCAGGAGGAGGAGGAGGAGGCGGAGGAGGAGGAGGAGGAGGAGGAGGAGGAGGAGGAGGAGGAGGAGAAAGAGCAGGAGGAAGAGGAGGAGGAGGACGAGGAGGAGGCGCACACGACTCCGACGCACTGGACGTGGACGGCGTGTTCCGGCGGCCGCCCCGGCGGCCAGAAGCGGCCCCGTGGCCGGCAGGAGAGAGCGCGCGAGCCTCCGGCGGGGGCTCGGCGCGGCGCGGCGCGGAAGGCCGCTCCGGCTGCGGTGACAACTCGTGGGAGCCTCCTGTACCAGTGGAGGCCCGCTCAACCCAGAGATCCAACGCAATGGAAAAAATCAGGACGGCGGTTTTTCGTACTTTTCGGCCTCGAGGGGCCCTCGCCGGGCCCCGGGAGCGTCAAGAAACGACTCAGGATGCAAAACCCGTCCTGGGGAATGGGTCGAGACTTCCAGTGACCCCGTATCGAAAAAATCACGACATCGGATCTCTGGGTAACCCCGCTTAGTCCGCAGCCGAATCCAGCGTAGCAGCCCCCCACTGGGGCTCAATCCTCCCTAGTCCTCCTGACGAAGACCTCCTGGCAGTTGCCTCCTGAGCCTCGAGAAACAAACAGTTCCATGAACAGAAACTTGTGGCGCTCCTCGCGGATTTCTTGGATCCGCGCTGGGCCCCCTCGGCGGCGCCTCCGGCGCCGCCCCTGGCGCGCTCCGCGCGCCAGGGAGGGGGGTCAAGCGCAGATCCAAGAAATCCGCGCGGAGCGCCAACAGTTTCTGTTTACAGTAGGGGCCTGACCACAAGAAACCTTCCACAAGAAACCCAAGCCTGAGACCACTGGACGCCCATGGACTTCGGCGTGGGAATGTAACGCTTTCTGTCGCGAAACCAAAGAAACCCAGGGCGCCCTGGAGGCGAGCAGGGTGTTTCTTGGCATGGGTCTCCACTGCACCATCTTGTCGGTTCTTGCGAATCGACGCTCACCGACGCTAAACCGACGCCGAATCGGCGCTAAGTCGGCGCTCATCGACGCGTTAAATCGACGCTAGCTCGTCGCTGTCTCATCGACTCCCAGGACGCTCGTCGAGGCTAAAGACGGAATCAAGAGGGTACGCCAGGCTCCCATGATTTGCTACCGAATCCGGTGAAAGGTCAAGCCTAACAGTCGGACCTAGTGAGCAGGGGCCAACCGCCCTGGCATTCCTATGGGCCTGCAGGGAGGCTGGGAGAAGCGGAGAGTGGGAATGCCGTCGGAGTGGGAAGCGGCCAGGGTCGGGAAAACCAGCAAGGGCTGCGACGTGCACGAAGAAGTTGGGATAAGGTCGCCAGGGCCGGAACCCATATGGGAAACTGACCACTTGCCGTCGCTCGGACATCCATTTCTCGTGCATTTTTGTGCGTATTTTTTTTGCTCGATGGTCCAGGATGCTCCTCCAGGGTCCTCGCCGAAAAAAACATGCACACGTCCGAGCGATGCCAGAACCAGGGGTTGAAGAAGTGGGAGGACCGGCCCCAGCCACTTGTTCCCGCCTCCCTGTGCCACGCAGTGTTCTTGGAACAGAATAGAATGTTCTGAGAACAGGAAGCCGATGCATGGAAACAACACCATCCCAGCCAGCAGTGCTCTAAGAACCTTTCGCGCAGCCCACAAAAATTAGGAGGCAACTACTGGAAGGTCTTCGTCGAAAGGGTTAAGAAAGATTGCGCCCCACTGGGGGGCTGTTACGCTTGAGTGGGCTTCGGATTAAGCGGGATTAGGCCGGACTAAGCGGAACTAAGCGGGACCAAGCCGGATTACGCAGGATTAAGCCGGATGAAGCTGGATTTCGGACCAGGGCAAAATCAGAATTTGACCTCCCAGGAGTTGCATCCGAACAAAAGGTTCTCAGAACCTTTTTGGTGGGCCCATGGGCAGGCCAAGGCGATTCGCCACTGCCCGAAAACCTTGGACAGCAGAGCCCCCCCTTTCAAGCGCGAGGGAGAGGCCCTCCGCCAGGCCAAGACACACACACACACACACACACACAGAACACATCCAGGCCCCCCCCCCAGGATTTGGTCAGGCCGGTCCTCCTACAGGCGGATGTTGGACGAGAAATAAAACACATATCTAAACATACCCCCCAAAAAGAATCAAACACAGTCAAAACCTCGTCCACAGACTATGCTTAGACTACTTTTGAACACTCCCCCTGCAGAGGGACGGGCCCCGACGTAACCCCAGGATGCACGAGGGGGGCCGCCAGCAAGCACGAGGCACACCGGGGGGCGCCCTCACCGCACCGACCTCGCTCTCGCACCCTCGATCCGGCTGCGCGTGCAGCCGAACCCCTGGCACGCAGAGAGGAGGAGGAGGAGGAGGACGAGGAGGAGGAGGAGGAGAAGGAGGAGGAGCCATTCGCCCCCTTTGGCCGCCTCGCGGGCCGCCCTCCGGGCAGCACCCTCGCCACGCCGCCGGCGCTGACGCGGCCCCCCGGCCCTCGGCCTCTACGACCAGGCCTGCCCCGCGTTGAGCGAGCGCCTGCGGACCACCCCGAGGCCGTCGCTCCTCCTGGACGTCACCTGCCAGAGTTAGGTCGGGCGTGTCCTCCTACAGGGGGATTGTCGACGAGAAGTCAAAAAAAGACCCCCCAATGGTCAAAGCCACTCCCCAAAATAGTCCCCAGACTACTCTTTCACTACTTCGGAATACTCCTCCTGTAGAGGGACAGGCCCGAAGTAAAATGCTCGAGACAGGCGCGCTCCACTGCTCGCAGAGTCGCTGCCCGCAGCCGGCCTCGGTCCGCCGAGGGGGCACTTCCGACGCATGGCATCTGCGGGCAGGGGAGCGCGCTCGGTGACCTGCGGCAGCGCGGGCAACACGGACGAGGAGGCCGCCAGGGGGTCCGACACGTCCTCGACGGAGGAGAGCCAGTCGTTGACGCGCCCTGGGGCGAACTCCTGGGGAAAAGGGTGCCCTTGCTGCTTGGGCTCGTGCAGGACATTGCCTGCGGCGTCGTCGGAGTCGTCGGCGCCGTCGTCAAGCTTCTGCTTGACAGAGTGGATCGTGTCTCTGGGCGAGTTCTGGAAGATCTCCACAGGCGTAGCCTCCACGGGGGCGACTTGGAAGAAATTCTGGATCTCACCGGGCTTGGGCTCTCCACGTCCTCTCCTGTTGACCCACACGATGATACCTCCACACGCCCCAGCGCAGATGATCCCCGCAATGACCCCAAACACAAGCAAGGTGCTTGCGACGTTGGCGTCGTCCACTTGGCCTGGCAAACTGACGCTGGCAAAAGTGGTGGTGGTGGTGGTTGTCACCTGGATGACGCCGATCACACCCGTCTGGACGCTCGCTATGCCGGGCACAGGCTGGACCGCTTGCGCCACCGCGTCGGCGAGCGAATCGAAGGCACCCACATTATCGGCAACGGTGACCACGGAGACATTCTCTGGCACTGCTATCCGCCGACCTCCGTCTGCAAGGGGCGAAAGGGACCGTGAAACGATTGGCTGTCCTCCCTCCTCCTTTCCCTCCCCCCGATGCCACAACTAGCGGAACAAGAAAAAAACATAATCAGTCGGATTTCCCAGGCAATGTGTATGTCGTTCTTTCTTCTCTGAAAGGTGTAGCTTGAGAGGGTCGGCATCATGTTTTTGTGTTATGCCCGGTGACAGTCGCTACCTGGGACAAGGGGGGTTGGAGCCCCGGGTAACGGTAACGATTGGGCGGTGTGGGGCACGTCGGGGCGGGGGTGCGCTGCGATCGCCGTAGTATGCGCGCAAGCATCACCAGGAAAGGGGTGGGGTGGTTTGGCCCGTGCAATGACCGTTACGCTCAGGTCGGGCATGCCCCCCTACGAGCGGGTTCTGGACGAAACATCGTCAAAATACTCAAAAGCAGAATCAAAAAGAATTAAACA